GCAGTACAATACATAATTCAAAGTTATAATACAATATATAGCAATGATGGTTTAATGTACAGACATCTGAAAATATAAACCTTACACAGATAGAAATTAGGTTAACCTGATAGATCTTCGTTACGTAATATTAGAGCATAATGGATATATTTCCCTAAACCAGCTAAGGTAGATATGCGGTTGGTACCCAACAGTTGGATTAATTTAAAAGTACTCGGCGATTTGTAATAATATTCATTTATAATTTTTTTTTCTTGAATTTAAATATCATATCATTGAAGAATGAAATGGAATTCGTCTTATATTTGACTTGTATTACAAACATCCCATAATCTATCCTCTCTACTTTTGCCTTGGTACCTTCCGCATTCTATGTTAAGATAGTGAGACGAAAGTCTAATGCGGGAAATATGTTTTTTTTTTAAATTACTCTGAAAAGGTTTTGTTAAATAGGATTGCATTTTACAGAAGTCAGATTGGACAATGTGTTTATATAGAAAGCATTTTGACGAATTATCCATATATGCAGTGCACTCTTGGAGGTATATATCTAGGATTCTATTTTTATACACATGCATAAAATGTGCAAAGTTCATTGCTTGCTGTTTTATCCAAAATTCTCCCAGACCCAATTTAAACAGTTCAAGTTTTACATCACGCGCCCAGTTTATACTCATTTCCGACCCATTCTCTGCATCATATGGCAGGTATTCATAAGAAGATTTTAAAATGCAGTTTTCTGTTTTTAATAATTTACACCAGAATTTCATAATTTTCAATTTCCTTTGTATAATAAGTGGATATCGCCCCAATTCTCTATAAATCATATAATTGCATACATTGCGCCTAACACCGAGGGTAATTTTACAAAAGGATAAATGCAGTCTTTCAATTCCCGGAGATTTATGAAAACCCCAGATTTCGCTTCCATACGAGATAACACTTCCAACATATGTATCAAAGAGTTGACATCGGGTTTCGACGTTGAATTCAAATTTTTGTATATTACGGTTTAAACCAAATAGTGCTTTTTGACCTTTTTCAGCTAATTTCTTTTGCGTAACACTGAATTTGCCGTTATAATTTAAACATAATCCTAGGTAATTAAAAGAGTCGACAATTTCCAAAATTTCATTGTTATAAGTCCATGAAAAATTTACGCATCCTCCTTTTCTGAATACTAAAATTTTGGTTTTTTCAGTGTTTACAGTCAAATTCCACGAGGTAACATATCCATGTAACGCGTCAAGCATATACTGTAATTCTTCTGGTGAGTTAGCGAATATTACGGTGTCATCTGCGAACATCAAAACAAAAAGATTTAGCTCCCTTAATTCTACGGATGGGCATTTGTCGTTTATGAAGTGATTTTCCAAGTAGTTAACATACATATTGAATAGTATTGGTGATAACACTTCCCCCTGTAGCAACCCGGTGTTTACTGGAAATTCTACGGATATCTCTCCAGCATTCTTGAAACAAGCGCGAACGTCAACATAAAGCGATCGGATGATTCAAAGGAATTTTCCGGTAATCCCCAATTTAATCAATTTATACCATAATTTTTCTCTGTTAATTGTATCAAATGCCTTTTTATAGTCAATAAAACAGCAATATAAACGTTGTTTGTTATTCAACTTTTGTGATATTAAACTTTGAAGCGCGAATATCGCATCAGTAGTTGATCGGCCAGCCTGAAATCCAAATTGCGCATCAGTGATAATATTTTCTGAATTGTTCCATTTCATTATTCTTTCGTTAAGAATTGATGTAAAAAGTTTTCCTAGACTGCTTGTGATGCTGATACCTCTGTAATTTCCGGGATCGTCGGTTTTTCCTTTTTTATAAATTGGAATAATAATTGCTTTAGACCACGATGAAGGAAATATACCAGAATTGAAAATTTTGTTGAAAAGGGTCAGTAGAATAAGGAGAATTATGTCACTAAACTCGGAAAAATATTCATTGATCAAATAATCGTTTCCCGCGCCTTTGTTCGTTTTCAATCTGCGTATGCAGGTTTCAATTTCCTTTGGAGTAATTTCAGTGTCCAAGAGCTCGAATACAGGGCTATTTAAAATATCAGTATCCATATAATTAGCAATCGAAATATAGGTAGATGGTGAATCATTAGCAAGGTTCCGAAAGTGCTCAAAAAATTCTGAAAGTGTAACTTTTGAGGTTGATGTATTTCGTTTGCTAAAATGTTTAAAGAATTCTTTAGGGTTGTTTTTCTTCAACTGCTGTACCATATCACCTTGTTGTCTCTTGTATTGATTTTTTTAGTTTCTTCTGAAGTTTTTTGTATTCACTTTTTCTTTTAGTAAGTCTACTATAATTTATTTTACTATGAAATTTATTATATTCTTCTAAAGCAGATAAATATTGGTTGTATAAAACTTAACATTTGTGATTGAACCATGGTTTATCCTCTAGATCTGCATTTCTTTCTTTTGGACACGTGTGTTTGCTATTCTGCATGCAATACTTCCCTAAAACACTGCTTAAGTTTTCGCTCAAGTTATTTACAATTTGATTGATATCAATATCGTCTTCAACACAAGAATATAAAGCGGCTAAATTGTTTATAAGATCTCTTCTCGTTTGAATTTGGGATTATTCTTGCCATTTATTTAACTTTAATGGAATTTTGGGCAGTTGACCGGTTCGAAATAGTAGAATGGATTCCCGAAGGTGCATGGAACTAAAAAGTTGGTGTATGATCTGAAAATTCAGTTAAGTTGCAGACCTTGAAATTCGCTATATGGTTTAATGAATTTGTTAAAACTAGATCAACGACAGATCGCCCATTTGGACCACAATAGTTTTAGTTTCCATTAGGATCGGACAGATATCGTCCGTTAACTATGCGGATATTTGATGATTTACATAAGCTTATAAGCCTTCTACCAAATGTGTGTATTTTATTATCCATTGTTGATCTTGGACTAAGTTCAATATCGGGTATATAACTCATCACATATAAGGTATCGCTTTCAATATAATTTAATAGTGAACCGGTTCTTGCATTGAAATCGCCAGTAATTAAAATATTGCCCATTTCTGTATATTTTGTAATACATTCGTTAAGCGTCGTAAACATATCATTGTAAATATCATGAAATTTTGAATCTATAGGTGGTATATAAACTGCTCCATATCTTTGTTTTCCAAAAAAATGACCTTATCTATTTTTATCCAAACAATGGTGTCATACAAAATTTCATTTATTTCTACATATTGATCAAGTGTGTCCTTAATTAGAATAACTATTCCTTCGCCCTGTGTGCGATTTCTTACGCGTTTTTTCCTATGATATGCATGAACACAATAACCACTGAGAGATATATTGGAGTGTTCCGTTATCCAGCATTCTAGAAGTATACACATATCGTAATCATATAAACAAGATTGGAATTTTTTGTCACAGAGTTTATTTTCCAGTCCACCATTTACATTCCATGTTCGGCATTAAATTTTGATAACAACCCTCTTTGACCCCTATTCGTCGTCATCAACGCCGATATCACACGGTGCTACTAATTTTCCATCAACAAATATGGACGCTTTCAAGCTGTATATTTCCAGCCTCTCCAACACCCAGATTGTTTTTGCAAAAATTTTGAATGAGAACTCGGCAGTTTTCGGGTTCGGTTTCCTCGATGTTGAAGAAAAGTAGATTATCCTTCATTGCATTGAATTTAATATTCAAAATTTCATCTTGCATTTTGGCATTGTCGCATGCTAGTTTATTGCATGCTAGTTTATTGTTCTCTGTTTGGATTGTTTATTGTTCTCTGGATAGGAAGGATATTGTGGCATACCTTGACGCTGTTGGGCAGGAGCAAGTGTACATGTAGGAGTATAATATTAGTTAGCCAGGTATGAAATTTACTAACCAGGTATCATCCCGTACCCTGTCACTACAAAACTATGAACGAATTTACCCCGCCGATGAAATGTTTGTGGTCTGTGGTTTGTAAAATAGTTTTTCTCCGCTATATGTTTTATCACTCATACAATGCCTATTATGACGTCACGTTGTGTTACGTAATGTTGTTTTGCGAGTGTATCATAACGTACTGACAGTTTTGACGACTTTAAATAAAGAGAGAAAAAGGTTCTATCTCGTTACTTACGTTGATTTACTTTTTACTTATCAACAGACACCCGCAAACCTCGTGAACTCGAGTTGTTCGAAGTGTTACAAAAGAACGATAACTCCGCATCAAACATGTATTGATTTTCAAGCGACTAGGTATAAATAATACACCCCCTTCACGTGACAGACTTCAACCAATCGGAAGCCAGGATTTCATCGAAAACTCATCAGAGGTGGGGTAATATTAGTTACATAGTTTTTTAGTGACAGGGTACGGGATGATACCTGGTTAGTAAATTTCATACCTGGCGAGGCGAAGCCGAGCCAGGTATGGAATTTACTAACCAGGTATCATCCCGTACCCTGTCACTACAAAACTATGTAACGAATTTACCCCACCGATAAAATATTTATGCATCGTCTGTGGTTTGTAAAATTGTTTTTCTCTCTATATATATGTTTCATCACTCATACAATGCCTATTATGACGTCACGTTGTGTGACGTTATGTTGTTTTGCGAGTGTTACGTACTGACAGTTTTGAAGACTTTCAGTAAAGGGAGAAAAAGGTTCCATCTTCGTTACTTACATTAGTTAACTGTAACATTGTCAACAGACACTCGGCAAATCGCGTGAACTCGAGTTGTTCGAACAATACAAAAGAACGATAACTCCGTATCGACCATGTATTGATTTTCAAGCGACTAAGTATAAGTAATACACCCCCTTCACGTGACAGACTTCAACCAATCGTAAGCCAGGATTTCATCGAAAAATCAACAGAGGTGGGGTAAAAACGAATACACAGGGCAATGTATACATATGCCTATCATGTAAACAACAACAAACAACAAAGTTAACGGAATATATTATCAAATACAAAACAGAAATTAAGACATCAAATTTTTTTTATTTTATTTTGTTATTTATTAAACAAAGAGCTGTAGCGACGAGAGAAGCGCGCGTGTGTATATATGTGACAGATCATATAGATGCCATGCTTCGTTTTACATGTTGATTTTGTATCAAAAACCTTAACCCTAACACGTTTTATTCACAATGAATTTTATAAGGAAAAATACATGATTTACTAAACCGGAAAATGGATGATATGTACTTGTCTATATATTAAATTGTTTTACAAAATGTTATGACAATTAGATTATGAAAAAAAAACATTATCTTGATGGGTTTATAGATATTCGTATAATAACATACTGCAATTGTGTAAGTGTACATTTAAGTCTTTTGACATTTATATAAAAGTGGGTGAAAGATAAAGTATTATGCAATTAATTCTACGACTTTGTTAGATAAAAAATCTTTTTTTCATGGACGTTTGTAACAAATATCATACTTGGCTTGCATCATTGGCTACTTCCAAGAAACTGAATGCACATGGTACATGTACTAAGCATCTAGAACAACTTAATATACATTGTAACTTAAAACCACTCTATATAAACATCATCGCTTTCATCTTCAAGGGTAAATTCTCGTCCATTTTAGACCTCCCATGCACACTAAAACAGAAAATAAATGTTACAACAAAACTTAACTATGTTCTAAAAATATGACATACAGTGTAAGTAAATCGCAACAGAAAATGGCAATATTAAAGCACATGTTAATATCATACGTTGGCAAATTTTACTAGATACTTATAGATAAATGAATTAGACACTGTTAGAGAATATCTATAATACATGTATTGTGTGATTTTTTAAACTTATTTGATTAATCCAAGAAGTTTGTATATATCTGTAAGGCTTCCACTCCTTGGATAACCATACAATATTTACTGTTTTATTTATCCCATACGATTGTTTAGAGATAGCACCTTGAAAGCACCCAATACCGATTCATTTTCTTTCTGGATTGATGACCCAAGGCCATTTTGTGCGTTTACCTTTTATTTCCGCATGAAAAAAATAATGTTTATAGAGTATCAAATTTCGTAACATTTGATAAAATTCTCACTGATTTGTCTCTTTAAAAGTATTGGTTTGTATCCTTTTTAATTAAAAAAAAAATGAAAATTCGGTCGTTTTCATTCGATGATATACATGTAGCCTTGTTGACATAATTTTGAAAACATGGAACGAAATTCCAAATAACTTCTAAAACGGTAACAATTGCAGGACTTATATTGTATAAATATCAGAAAATACTGAGTATGTTACAGTAGTAAAATGCATTTTTACTGATAAACTTACCAAACAACACCAAACGAAAATCCATAAAGGAAAAATACATGTTATACAGAGATGCAAACAACCCCTCTCGTAGCACTTCTGCCTGGAAAGATATTCAAAAATAGACACTCTATATGTGCTAGGTTAGTCGAAATCTCACACACTTTTTAATCAACATAAAGCAAACTTAAGCTCATTGTGTCAGGGTGACAAGAATGGTCCCGTTATATGCAAGATTTAAATATGTGAAAGTCCAAGAGTGTGAAAATAGAAATTGGTGGGGGTGGCACAAAATGCTTCTGTTTTCTGGAATCAGTTGTCTATACCGCAGCATACTTAAGTTATGTGAAATAGTGATCACTTACAAAAAGTAAAAAGAAAAGTTGAAAAAGAGTGAATAATTTGAAACTTCGAAAGTCTAAAGGCCATAAATTTTGTAAAAATTTGGTCAATCAATACAAAACTCCCATTTAATCTGCAAGTCATCAATATAAAGAAACATACCAAAAATCAACTCATTATCTACAAGTACAACAAAAAAGTCCCGAAAACGGTGATTATTTAACATTTTGAAACTCCGCGGCCCATAACTTTCGTAAAAAATGGATCAGTCAACACGGAACTCGAACTTGACCTGTAAGTCTTCAATATCAAGAGACATACCAAAAATCAGCTCACTATCTACAAACACAGCAAAAAAGTTCAAAAAACAGTGAATTATTAATTTTGAAAGTCTTAGAGCCATATCTGTAGTAAAAAAAAAGGTCAATCAGCACGAAACTCGAACTTATCTGTGAATCATTTTAAGAAACATATCAAATATCAGGTCATTTTCTACAAGCACAGCGAAAAAAAAAAAGGTCCGGGAAACAGTGAATTATTAAAATTTTTCAAAGTTTAAGGGCCATAATTTCGTGTAAATGAATCAATCTCTGTATGTCATCAATATCAAGGAACATACCAATAATCAGGTCGTTATCTACAAGCAAGGCAAAACTACATGTATAAACATAACGTAATGACAGAATGACGGACGGTCGTCATAAGTTTATTTTCTATTTTTCTAAAACATACAACACTTTAAAATGTTTATTTTAACAACCACATTACTTACTTTGGAGGCTCTCTAGTAGGCTGAGGCTGGGTGACAATCGCAGTCATGTGGTATGAAACCTGTGGCTGGTCATTTATGCCAGCGATAACTCGCAATCTGTCAGCGAAAGTCGCAATGGGAATAATATAATAATTTTGCAGAAATGTTTTCTTAAAAGTCATGATTTTCTTTACATGTCTTTGCTGACTCCCAAGTAACACGGTATCTGTCACCAGAAATCGGTTTTGTACAGCACTCAACTCATAAAACTGAGTCACCAAGTCCCCACATAGTTCATCGTCCTCGAAAATGCATTTTCCGACCAAATTATCCGGGCTTAATAAAATGCACAAAACGAGCAGTGCATCTAATTCATTTGATGTCAAAGTGTAGTAGTAAGTGAAATCAGTGAGTCGGTCCAAGTTTTCGTCATCCAAACTGAGAACCTGACAAATACACCTTAAGTAGTACATCAACCTAGCCCGTGGATCTGCAGGAACTGTTACCGATGTTCCAACTCTTTTCAGTCCGATTTCTGTATTTCCAGCAAACATTTTGTCCCCGGAATAAAAGTGTTTTCAATTACACGTGAGCAATCGATACAATTGACGTGGATCCAGGAATATAAAAGTATGATAAGAAGTACATTGCACCGTGCACAAGTACTCTATCTGTTTCATAAATATCTGTAAAGCGGGTTTAAACGACATTGGCAAGATGCCCAGTCTTCTGACAGATATTCTGTAGAGATTCGGACCTAAGAATGTGTGAAAATATTTAATATTTTATTTCTTGACAATTGTTATAGAATTCTGTACGTATTTTATATTAGTATTAAATTTGTACTGGAAAAAGATGGACAAAAATAATTTTGTATTGTTTAAAAAATATTTAATAAGTTATTTAATGAAAGTGGAGATGAATTTCACCCTATTGCAATTTTATCAATGATGAAAAAAATAACATACCAGAAAATGTTTACAGATATGGTGTTAGTTTTGCAAACGTATTTCATTTTAAGCTGTTGCTTATTCAATTTGAGATATGTCCTTTGATGCACAATTTTTAAATATGATCATGTGGGGTTTTGTTTGTTTGTTTGTTTGCTTTTTGGGTTTTTTTTTGTATTTCGTCATTTTAAGTAGCAAAGTGCACGACTTCTTGTCTCTGAATTGACCTTGGTACATGTAGGTCTTCGTAGAAGTGGACAATGTTTTATTATCATAAATTCTTACTGGAGATTTTTGTGTACAAAAAGGTCAATGAACCCGATTTACGAGTTTAAACTTGTATTTGAGAACCGATAACCTATCTGTCCTTGCATAACACTATTTCTCAATAAATAAATATTAAATAATTTAGATTATTAAATCGATCGATATCAAACATGAATTTTTGACAGTGTGTCATTGTTCAGGTTACACACGTCGTTCTCTAAACTGTTCTTGAATGTTGGTTTGCGGAGAGAAATTTATGAGAACATATCAACATACTTGCATGGCTTTTATTACTACTACCGTACTCCTTTGTAAAGAAAAAAAAATACAGGTAAACCAATTTTCAAAACTTACCCCGTTAAACGTTAAACAAGGTATTGGTGAAAATACCAGCTGGAAAATAAAGAGCATTTTAAAGAGACGTTGTAATTACAAAAACCAAACATCACAAATCTTTGATGGTTTAGAGCCATTCATTCAAACAAAAATGATCAGATATTTATAGAGCCTGCTATATATAAAGAGTCTAAAAAGCCAAAAACTACATAAATAACTAAGGACAAGATTCGTTTTGTATAATATTTGGTTAATTGGAGAATTTCCAAAAATTATAGTTTACGCTGAATCAAAACTTTACATTGAAAATAAAGGTTGGATGTATGTTTGATTAAAAAATACACCCAAACTGAGAGAATGTATCCCCTTTTACACTATTTATTCGTGGTCAAAATATGCACGGAATGCGTATTTCCAGAAAAATCGTTAAAAATCTGCGAGCTTTCAGGCATTTTTCAATAGGAACGTATTATATCGTCACTCTGAAATTTTCACAAATGAAACATCGATTTGAAAGCATTTTATATGCAAAAAATTACGATGGTGATATTGTGCGGCCTATCTCTATTTTTTAAACAAGAGGCCCAAGGGCCTTAACGGTTACCTGAGTATAATAAAATTTAGAGGATCCGTAGAGTATAAAATGAACTGAAAGGTGAAGCTTTGTTCCCCAAAAGCAAGAAAAATATGGTGATCAGGATCAACAAAATAATTAATCTAGTATTCATTGACAGTTTATAAATAAGGTTCTAATCTATTCCCCATTTATCACTATCACTATACAGTACATTAAAAAACTATCAGTGCTTCTGTACTATATTAATTCCTCGTTGAAACCTCTTACATTGGCCTCTCTTGGTCTTTGATGAACATTTAATAAGACAGGTTATTTTTTTTCCATTTTTATTTATCTATTACTTACAAGTCTACTTGATCATTAAAACTATGAAAATACTTTTTGTATTATACTATAAAAGTTCTTGCATAATTCTCTGATTCTATTAACCTTTCAAGTACATTGTTTACAGTGATTAATTATCAAAAGTAAATAGCAAAGGGGAATAACTCCTCTCAGTAGTACAAATTAATAGAGCCCTGGCCAGGACCAGAACACTTGACCAAATGGTCCAGATGTTCAAAAATCTGGTAAAAATACCCTTCCTTATTAAAACTTTTAATCTTTTTGCCTCTGATATACCCAAGTGAAAAGTTTTTAAAGGAATAATGCATTTTTACTACAGATTCACTATATCATCAATAGAGCCCCCCCCCCCTCCCCACCGAGAAACACTAGAGTCTCTCACCCTGGGACCAGAAGTTTGCTCATCATAAGTAATCATTTTGTTTATCTGCTTAACACTAAGGAGCAGACAGAATTATTTAATAGAATTAATGCATTTTCAATATATTATCAAGAGCCCAACCCTGGCACCAGCACATCTGACCTGGGGTCATGTAATTCACTACTCTGGAAGAAGCACTCTTTTTCACTATATAATCAATACAGCCCCCCCCCCCCCAAACCTTTTCACTAGAACCCTTGACCCTGGGGCCATGAATTTCACAATTTTGGAAGAGGCATCATGTCTTATCATAACAATGTACTTACTAGTTTGTTTCAAAAATACCCAGAAGCAGAGAAGAAGATTTTTAAAGCATTAATGCATTTTCACTATATAATAAATAGAGCCCGGCCCTAACATCAGAACCCCTGATCCAGGGGTCATGAAATTCACTACCCTTGCTTATCATAACTATGTATTTAATTTGTTTCAATAATACCCAGGAGTAGAGAAGAAGATTTTCAAAGAAATAAAGCACTTTCACTATATGATCTGTATAGCCCAGCCCTAGCACCAGAACCCCTGACCCTGGGGTCATGAATTTCACAATTTTGGTAGAGTCACCCTTGCTTATCATAACTATGTATTTAGTTTGTTTAAATAATACCCAGGAGTAGAGAAGAAGACTTTCAAAGAAATAATGCAATTTCACTATATGATCTATAAAGCCCCACCCTAGCACCAGAACCCCTGACCCTGGGGCCACGAATTTCACAATTTTGGTAGAGTCACCCTTGCTTATCATAACTATATATTTAATTTGTTTCAATAATACCCAGGAGTAGAGAAGATTTTCACAGAAATAATGCACTTTCACTATATGATCTGTATAGTCCCGACCTAGCACCAGAACCCCTGACCCTAGGGCCATGAATTTCACAATTTTGGTAGACCACTCTTGCTTATCATAACTATGTATTTAATTTGTTTCAATAATACCCAGGAGTAGAGAAGAAGATTTTCAAAGAAATAATGCACTTTCACTATATGATCTATATAGTCCCGCCCTCCAGAACCCCTGACCCTTGGGCCATGAATTTCACAATTTTGGTAGAGGGCTCAATGCTTATTACAATCATGCCAACAGTTTGACTGCTTGATGTCCAGGAGCAAAGAAGATTTTTAAAGATTGCATTAATTTTGGTGGTTTTAACCCCACCCCTCAGGCCCCAAGGGGGCAGGGACCATGATATTCACAAATTTTGTTCCTCTTCACACATAGATGCCATGTGATAAAATTGGTTCAGCGGTTTCAGAGAAGAAGCTGAAAATGTTCAAATGTTAACATACGACGCTCGACGGACGACGACGGACGAAAACAGATAGCAATAGGTCACCTGAGTGACTCAGGTGACCTAAAAAAGTGTTCATATTTATAGCATGTAATACACATACATAAGACGGTGTGTTGCTAGATCTATATAATATTGAGAATATACCTCGCCGGGTATCGCTGAAAAATCCTTATAAATGATTAAGTCATCACATCAATATTACGAAGATCTGATTTGTACTTATTCTTTACACGTAGTTCGAATTCAGATACACTGGGTCTATATATACATGTAGCATCCTACTTCCTTGTTTCTCCGTGTCGCCCTGTCTAATTACTTAAACACAAATTTTAATGTTTGCATGCAATTTCTGTTAACCATGAAAATATAGAAACACTTAATAGTTGCTAAAAACATATTAATGTGCCAGTTTAATTTATTGCAAGTTTCCTTTGGTCATTTTGTGATATTTTAAGATTGATTGATTCAGAGACGTATAAAACCTACAGTGTATGAAGTCCGGAATACAATGACACATATAAAAACTCAAGCCTTGGCTATCAAAAGAGGTATTATTACTCGTAACGTTCCTGTCATTCATAATCAGCCATTACTGAGGAGGAAAAAATGAATGTGTAGGAAAGCAAGTCAAGATGAAACATTTTTGATATTTTTTCCACAATGGACTTTTCTTTTATTGCAGAGAAAAGATTGTGTTTTGATAATAGCCGTGTTTCGAGTTATACCGGAACACCGTTTTACTCCCCTTTTAGTCAGCCGCATCAAAAATGTTCCTCAACGTTACTTCCGGTAATATTCGCAGAAGGATAAAACGTACGCTCAACTAGGACCTTAGGTCACCGGCTCAGTTCACAACTATCAAACCTGTTTACTCCGCGACAAAATGTAGTGCATTGCAACCGTAAAGTGAAAATAGAATAAATCGCACTACTGTGAAGCCTTTACGGTGTAAAACAACAAACAGAAAATCTATTTTTGTCAAAGGAATAATCATCTGATATGAGGAAAGATACAGGGGGGAGCAACATTGACTGCAATATATTATAAAACATGTTATACAGCAATGGATTACGTAGGGTAACCTGTGGTCTCCCTAATAATATTATTCCATGTAAGGCAATAGTATCTATTTAACACAGTACCTAACCTCTGATCTCCTTATTAATATATCAGGGTAGGCGACCTCCTGTCTCTGCATTCGCAGATCTAACCGGCAGGGGGAGGAGGTACATTGTAGGTCTTGCCCCCCAACCCGCTCGGACTCTTCACTGATCCTTAAAGAATAATGGAATAATTATTTGTAATAAATTATATTGGGTGTCCTTTGGTCTCCCTTTTGAGGTCATACCTCAATAGGCGACCTTATCAGTTTAAAACTCTAGTAAACCTCTGGTT